GGATAAGATGGTAGGTGTAGGTATCTATTACTGCCAGGAGAAGAAAGCTGTTCCCAGGTTTCCATTTCACATGTGCTTAAAAAAACCTGTGCTGTGTTTTAATTTGATAACTTAATTTTTGCCCAAGTTCTGTATTCCTGGGATATCTAATAGACAATGGCTCTGAAAGAGGGAACCAACTTCCAGGCTAGACCTCGGTTCTTCTGGATAGGGCTCAATCAATAAGAAGTCAGAAGTAAGGAAGATGTGGGCAGTTTGGATGTGACTGATCCATGCTTTGTAGCACAGCTTTACAGGAGGTGAGAAAGACAGTGTGGAAAGAAGCCATCAGCTGTGTAACTCTAGTTAAGCTGCCCGAGTGCCTTGCAGGCTGCTGAGGCCTTGGTGGGCTGCCACAGTCCTGCGGTGCGAGGCTGAGGGGCTGATTCTTAACAGTAGTTTTGCACCCTCCTTGTGTAGTAGTTGCTAGGTCAGAAATCCCAGCAGCTAACACAAAGGGAAATGAACATAAGTGCAAGCAGTGACCATGAAAGAAACAAAGGAAGTCACACAATCAAGATGATCTCCATGATAGCCCAGTAGCTGCTCCACCAGAGCTCCTTAACATTGCACATGTGTTGAGACATCGATGGTGCACAGCATCAGAGAATAAACAGCACATCACAGCAGAGAATAAACTGGTCCTTGGGAAATTAAGCTGAAGTGAACAACAGGAAGCATGAACTAAAAGAATTAAAAAGTAAGAGTGATGACATCTCACTTCAGAAGGGACCTGGCAACATCAAGGGCCTCTGACTTCACGAGGGGTTGAGCGCCTTCTGTGAAGTAGTGAGATGTCTCCATTTCTAGTGGCCTCCTAGAGCTGTGGGAGCCTGACAACATGCAGAATCTATTCCGAAATGCTGCCAGTCACAAATCAGTCTTAAAATATATGTTGTTTTTGAAAACCAGTTGGTTCAACTGAATGCTTTCTACTATCCAGTTTGTTTTTTTTTTTTTTCTTTCCCCTAGCAATCAATAAAGAAATCTTTCCATTAGAAGAAAATATGACTCTTGGAATTAATTCTTTATACAAAGATCCGGCAAGAGTGACATTTACACCAAAATTAAGTCCCTGTGGCAGTATAACAAATACTCTACATTTGCCTGCTTGATGCTGTGGATAATTTAGATCAATGTGGTCCAATTATCTGAGAGCAATGCTACAAGATTTAATATATGTTTTAAATATTTTTTTTGCTGAATTTCTGGGGTTAATCAGTCATTAAAAATTGTGTCCCATTTGAAAGAATTATCACTAAAAAAATCAGCAAATATTGCCAGTTACTAAAGAGCAGTTCTAGTTCTAGAGGTTTAATTGAAAGGCTTCAGAAACTACTGCAGATTAATGAAAGCCAAGAAATAAAACACAGTAGTAATGTTGTCTGAAATGCATGTTGTGATTGGCTATGCAGTTACTTAATTGAACTTGTACTATTTCATTGTTTAAAACCTAAGGATTACTTGAATGTATAAAATCCGATATTGAGAATTTAAAATGTCGTATACAAAACTGTATTAAGAATGACAACAAAAATCCAGCCTGTAGCATGTCATTGCTATTTCTTGTTATATGCACAATGAACAAAGGGCTGAAGTTCTGATTTACCTACATGGCCAGACTGAAATCAAAGAAAATTAAATAAGTAAATTATCAGCACTATTTAACACCAGTAAATACTGCATGAGAATTAATTTTTGCTACCAAAACAAATGAGTTTCTTGCTCAAATTCTGTAAAAATAGGAAAAGAAATTGAACAAACTATTGATAATATTATTTGAATATAATAATTTGGCAATATTTGTAATTGTTTGTACAGTCTGTACAGAAAATTTTGTGTAACATTGTTATTGGTTTTAGAACAAATGAAAAGAATCCATTTTTAATTTCAGCCTGGATGCTGCTGGTTCTGTGGTCTCTGGTAGGTCACTTAACTTCTTTGCCTTCATTTCTTTATCATTAAAAAAAGGGAACAGTCCTTGCTGATTGAAGAGATCATGAGATTGCAGTGATTTCAGAAGTCTTTAAGTGCTTTAAGGATGAAACTCCCTATGAATAATGGTTACATAATACGTCTTTTTCACAGGTGATCTTCATTTCATTACATCTTGACTAAGACGTAAATCATAATACCTGCTAAAGATTGATTGGCTTATTTGAAAACAACAAAACATTTTCAATATGTAATACATAAATGAAGCATAACAAGCTTCTTCATTTATCAACCTTTAGGACAGTAATACTTATCACACTCTATATTCTGTGTATTGGCTAAATATGTTACTTTTAATGTACTGAAAATAACAGATTATTATTATAATGGATTTCAAATGAGCATATATAGATGTGTGTAATATATATATGTAAATATATTTTCGTATTGAAAAAGACAAGGAAAACATGAATCCCCTGCAGTTAAAATTGAGCTCTTACAGGATTCAGTTTGATTATTTTTTTTCAAATATACACAAATTGACCTTGCATAAATAGTGGTTAATTAATTTTTTTTTTTTAATATTAGAAGTAGGTGGAGTATGGAGTCCTGTTCATGGATTTGTCATGTAAAACAGGCTGCAAACAGATAAAATCAGATTACAAGAGGATGCCAATCTTAGGGCTTAAGTGGTTTAAAGAAGCATCTAAAGAAGTGCTGTACTACATTAGCTGAAAACATTTTAATATAATCATTGGAATATGTGATAGAAATTTGGTGCAAAAAGAGTATTTTAGAGATTGATTTATTTTAGGACTAAGAAATTTGGAAGATTGCATCATTTTTACAACAAATCTCTGAGAAAAATTAACTTGGCTGTGCCGTTTTTGTATCTATTTTGCACTCAGAATTGATTAACAGAGAAACATTTATTAGCTAAGGATTTGTAACTGCTCTTACAGCAAGTTTAGAATTTGAGAAGAGATAGGTAGTTTAGAATAAGAGAAGAGATAGCTATGGAATCATGAGGTGTATGTGTAAATTTACAAGGTGATCGGTAGTGGGCGAGGGGAAACTTTAACCAGTGCTCAGAATAAGGTGTGAATTAACTGTTGATGCAGAAAAAGGAATAGAGGATGAGATGGGACCTATGTGGTCTTCTGTAAAAGCCAGAGGTATTAGAGGTATTAAGCTATCGCTGACACAAGCTTCTGCAACCACTCTGGGGCCGTGTCCCCACGGGTTTCCAGTGACACAGCTCTGTTCTATGGCCTGGCAGTGGGGCCTTCAACTCCTTCTCTCCAGCTCTCAGTTCAGATTGCCTTCTATGAGCTTTGAAATAAGGAAATGCATCTGCTCATGACCCTGCCTCTGTTTCATTTCTTTTCTACTTATTTCTGCTCAACTCCTTCCACTGGCATTCTCTAAGGACACTTTTCTGGAAAAGCTCCCAACAGATAGATATGATGAAAAGGACAGAGACATGGCAAGAAGTGAATCCCTGCTCTTTCACAGGAAAAAGCTTTTTTTTTTTTTTTTTTATCTCTGGCAGAATCCAAATGCATTAATCATGACTGCAATTAAATTCAATTAATCTATGAGATTGTGTCTGTGGCAGTCTTCCACTCCTATCTGTATTCACCTTTGGTTTTGCAAGCAAATGCACATAAAATCAATTTAGAGACAGACAAGAAGAAAGCCCCAATCCTTTGCTTGCCTCCTGAAATGAGCATCAAATCAACCCTATGTTTGTGTATACATAAGTGTATTTAACATATATATATACATGGAATGGAAGCCATCAGTCTTGTTTAGGTGATGGCTTTGTTGGTAATAGTGTTATGTTCATCTTCATAACCACAGCTACTGTTCAATTCTACTTTCCTCCTCCCTCCCTTTCTCTGATGATACTTTTCAGAGCTACATTTTAGGCTTCCTAAGGTTCACTGAGTTCACTATATTTCTTTAAAACAACAACAACAAATGAGAAAAAAAAAATTACCAAAAACCAAGCCAAGTCTTGCAACTATTTTTCAAATAAGCATACAGTTAAATAAAAATCTTTTGTATAATCAGAGAAGTGGTTGGGACAGTCTGTGTTTTTATTCTGTGTTTCAGATACTTCACTGACACAGGTCCTAAAACGTTCACTCTTACATATGCTGTACCCCTGTTGCAGGGAGAATATTGACAAAAAGCTTTTCCTCTCTCCACTGAAATCATCCAGACAAGGCTTTTGCACCATTGGTATATTCCTGATGTTTCATTTACAGACTGCATATATGCACTACATTACACGTTTCAGGAGTGATCCTGTAATTACGCATTGGCTGTTGACTGGCAAAGCAAATCGTGATTGCCCAAAGTAAATCTAATATATTACTTGGAGAGCAAGAAATGCATGACAGCCTGGCTGAGCATCCTTTAAAAGTAGGCATGGGACTTTTAAGCTACAGCATGTATGCATATAATACATACATACATATATAAGTATACACAACATATACATATATATATGTATTTCATACATGCACAATAATTTCCAAGACAGCTACAAATTTCCACATGCATTAAACTATCTAAAAACATAGAAATAGGCAAGACTAATAAGTGGAATTTTCTTAAATTATATTTGAACAATAAACAGCAAGAGTAATACTGCAAAGTACTGCTCTATTCTCATTTATATCTACAATAAAATTCTATGAACAGTTGTCTCCCAAAACATATCCCAATAAAATAAAATAAAAAAAAAAAAGGTAACACCCAGTGTCCTATATTTGTATATTCATTGTCAGTTCAGTAAGAAAAAAAAAAGGTAAACAAAGAAAAGAGAAAAAAGACATCCCCACTCAGAATTGCATATTTACATTCTTCAAACTGTAGCGGTGAAAAATAATTCTATTAAGTGCAGAACATTCCTAGTGTTGCAGTAGTGACATTTTTAATAAGTTCATTATGAAAACATTTCTTTTTGTCTTAACAGTGATGCATTCCATGACTACGTGAAAATTTCATTATCCCCTTCACTTGCAGCCAGTGGTTGAGTCTGGATTGAAAAGCTCCTTGTATAATGGAGGAAATAGTGTGTTCACTATATCTGGGTGAGACTGTTTAAATACCTGTAGTTTCTCTCCGTGCAAGTTGCAAAGTGCAGTAATGGTTGGTATCTTGGCTACTAACTGTGAGATATAAAAGAAGAGGAAGGAAACAAATTTAGTAAAAGTTCCAGAATTAATTAAGATAGCATTTTGTTGGAAAACTGTAATACCCCAAACTTCATCAAATCTATCCATGGTGACACTGGATAAGTCCACTGTTCTTATTGTTATGGTCTAAAAACCATTCTACTGGAAATTTTAGCCAAGTGCCGAAACCGCATTTAACAAGGAACTGCCTCTAGGGTTTCTCACTGAAATAGTCTGATTCTTGCTAAGGTACCCCATAAAAGGATTCATGGATTGAACAAAATATGATTTAAGAGGAAAGAAGAGTGAGGAGAAGAGTACAACAATGCTTACTTCTATACAATGGGAGCAAGTAATATGATGCTTTTAACTTACATTAATGTAGTAGTGGAGAAGAGGCTAAAAAAAAGATGCGCGTCTGACGAAGGCTTAGGTTAGCTCTTTTTTAACAATTTACCTTTGTCAAAGTCTCATCATCGAGGTGGTTCTTCTGGATCACATGTTGAAGTGCAAAGTAAATCTTTTCCTGAAGCTTCTGGACCTTCCTTGGCTCTATTAACCAGGCTCGATCTAAGAAAAAAGAAGGCAAGAGCTAAGGACAGGTGTGGGGTATGCTCATGGATGAACTTGGTACGCTAGCAAGTGTTTACAGCAATGTAATTCCTGTGGGGAAGAGAATCATAATGAAAAGATGGTTTCAGAAGCAAAATATTTTAATCCATTAAAGGATCACCTGAGAGTTGAATTAAGACACACTGAGCATACGACAACAAAATGTTTGCCCTGTATTTCTGTTTAAATCAGTACATTAGAGAAAGATGGGAGTAGAAATGAAACAAGGTCCAAGCATTTCATTATATTTTGCTGGTACATTCACTGCTCTAACTTCATGTTGCCTAGGTAAGAAACATATATCATTTCAGTGTCTTAATACATAAATAATGAGCATATTGATCAAAACAGTCATCTCTTTGAAAACAATAGAGTATAATTATTGAAAAATTAAAACAAAATGTATTTTGTCATTATTTACTAGGCTAACATTTTGAGACCATACATTATATTCCATATTTAAAAAAATGGCTTCCTTCAAAAGAATTTCTTTAATAATTCAAAAGAATTATGAGCAGTTGCAATGTCTTGAAGTGCAAATTTCTTGTTTTTTTAAAAATGTTCTCTTTTTAATCAGTGCAAAAGAGAAGCTAATCTGGGAGAATAAACAATTATAGATACAATTGTTTGGACTTATACTGAGCTCAGACCCCAAGTGTAGGAGGTCTTTCATAAGATATTCTGTCAAGTCACAGCTTCTGAAAACAATCATACATGAAGCATAGAAGCAGACCCCAAGACAATCTCCAAAACATAACAGTGTTTATAGCACTGCCAAACTGTCCATGTTCCCATTCTGCAAACTTTTTTCCCTGTTTCTCACAGTCAGAGTGATTCTTGGACATAGATTTTAGCTTTGCAAAAGGAAATATGAAATTATGTTTTAGGGCTTGAATCTTAATGTACACATTGAAAGCTGTGGGAAAATCCCTTTCATTTCCAGTGCTCTTTTCCCTACCTCCTCGAGTTACTAAAATTATCCATAGAAATAATTTAAGCTGAGAGACTGAAGAGTATTTCAGTGCTGAAGAATCAGGATTCTGCCATTTGTCTGACTGCAGAGATGTCTCTATGGAAAATGTCCATCAACAACTTCTCTGAAAAGAGATAAACCCAAGTCTCCAGAGACTTAGCAGGTAATCAGACAAAGGAAACAATGTTTTTGCATAGCTTAAAGAATCAATGGATCCTGTACTGACAGTGGCCACAGAAACAGAATTAGCTGAGAGCGCACACAGTATTGGCACAAATAAGCTTACAGTAATATTTAGGCTTCACAGGCTAAGTGTCAAATTTTATGTTCTTGAAAAACATGCGTTTCACTAGTATTAAATCAATACCTAATAGGTGGCAGGCTGAAGCTAGAAAGATTTATCACAGAGAGCAGTCCTTAAAGATTTATCTTTCTGCCACAAAGATGAGCTTAAAAATAGACTGAGGCTGTGGGAACACAGGTTTCATCACTTGCTGTCATGGAGTATGCTGTATATAATGCAAGAGTTCTTGAAATCACAGTGTGGGCTAGGTGAAACTTTTACTATGAATATTAAGTCTGTCTCCCAAAATGTAGTTCCTACCACTTGATCACCATCTGCAAATTTGTTTGGATGTTCCACATACCTCTGATTATATTCACAAAAGTGTAGGAAAAAGTCAAGAGATCAGTGGCTACCCATACAGGATTGGAAAACTGGTTCAGATCTACTATTTTCCTTTAGGTTTTGACTCTTCTATCTTGGCAGAGTGCACTAGCTACTAGGCAAGAAAAGAGTGTAGAAGAGGGTAAAAGACATAAGGAAAGGTGTTCAGCAAGATTTTCAGAAAAGATACTAGCAGGGTTAATGTCTTACTACCCATTTCCAACATGTATGCAAGTGAAGAGCCATTCTACATCATTAAGCTTAGAATCAGAAATCAAGTGAAAGAATCACCTCTGATAACCTTAAAGTATAAAATCTGGATTTGTGCAATTAGTCAGATGGAAAATGGGCCTCAAGCTTGGTTTCAGAACCTAAACTGTTGTGTTAATAGATGTTCAGGTCAGCCCACTCCTGCAGATATTGCTCTGTTCCCTGTAAATGCTGACATTAAGAGCACAATAATCACCTTTCAGAGCAGTGGCTTCTGTAGAAGAAAAGCATGAATACGAGTGCTTCCCAAAGAGAGTGGCTATGTCCCTAAATTAATGAGTTGAAGAACAGATGCAGCTTATTCTCAGAAGCAGTGCTTCTTTTTTTTCAGTTTTATATACGTTCACAAGATGAAACACTTTACTGTGAAGAAACCAGAACATCTAGTGCAGAAGGAAACTGATTATTTCTTCATATTAGTTCTTTATTATTTTTGAAAGGAAATAAGTGACAGCTTTTAATGTCATTACGATTTGCACTGCCTTCCCTTGCCATTCACAGACTTAGATCAGCTGAAATGGGGTTTATTTGCGTGACACAAATTGGCAGTTTTTTAAAGGAAGACAGGTTGCCTTCTTTCAAGGTTATGATTCTTCAGCCTATCCTGTCTTATTGCTTCTCACATGTCCAACAATACTCGTGCTTGCAGACTACAGAAGAAGTAGTCAGCATACATTAAGCACTTTCACATTTGGTTTTTGGCTAAAGGAATAAGAGATATTCAGTGTCCTCTTGCTAGCAAGCAGGGAAAAACAACTTGGACATGAAAGAAAGACATTGGACATTGAAGTATTTCTTCTAGTATCACCAGCTTTAACTTTCAACCTAAATAATGGTGAAAAAACTTGGAATCACTTCTATGTATCTTAGCAGAGTTTGCTGTTCAAGACACACTCATCTTTGAAGTGCTAATCACGGCTGTATCACGGCTGATGTATATCATGACTGAAATGTATTACTAGAGTTAGTGGAGAAGCTTATACAACACATGCTTGCAATACAGCTGGCTTAAAGCCACTGCTGATTTTCTAGCTTTTTCAAGCACTTAGTACAACTGCAGATGTGCAAGAGATTTTGCTGCTTTGCTGAAAGACACATGAAGAACTGCAAAGCTCAGAACTTTAGTTTCCATCAATTGTCTACTTGTAGCTAAGTGTCATGGTTTTGTGATTTTTGGTTTTTGGTATTCCACATCATAACATCACATGGGGCACTGGGAGTTTAACTGTTAATGCTCAAGTTAGAGTACCTGTCCAGAAGAGAAGAAGAGCTACATTTCCCAGGGGACTCTGCGGTCACAGAGAGGAGATAGAACTCCTGGCAAGGTCGCCTGATGCTCTTTTTCGTCCGCTCTTTTTCTTCGGCTCTCCCCCCGTCTCCCTGCTGCTCAACCAGACTGCACATCTCACCTCAGTGTTATGATGAGGCCTATCCACCTTTTGGACATTTTCTCATTATATTTGATTTACTATCTTCAATTCTAATTATATTGTATTATGGTGTGTTATCTTGCATTCCAATACTATATTTAGTAAATTAGTTTATTTCTCTTCAGATCGTTGCCACTGTTTTTAATTATTCTGGAGTCCCCTGTTCCCTTTTTCTGGAGGCACAGATTTTGTGAAATCCCTCTGCCCCACCAGTCACGGAACTGGGCCGAACCAGCCCGCAAACCATTGACACTAAGTGCACTTCATTAATGACTTGATCAAAAATCCGTTAAAGCAATCCATTAAAATCAATAGGAAACTTTTCATTATTTAAATAGGCTCTGTCCAGGTCTAAGGGACTGGACATTCAGAGATGGAATATATTACTGTGACCAGATTTTGTTAAGTTGGGCTATAATTTGTTTTTGTTGCCTAGACTACCTAGGTAACAGAAATATTGCTTCTTTTTAATTTGGCTGGAAATCACATATCTGAATATTTTTCTTTCTCCCTACAGATGAGATGTCTTACTCTGAAATAAAGTGCATGTAAGTCACTGAAATAATTTAACTGCTTCTGTTTCTCTTCAGGAAACAAATAGATGTTAAAAAAAGAAAAACATAAATCTTGCTTGTAAGGATTCTATCATTCTTCTCTGTTGCTTGGTTCTTAGCATGTTGCTCAAGAACTTCACAGTCTAGATTGCCCCAGAATTCCCAAGTTGTCTTTAGCTTTGTGCAGAGTCAGATGGGTCACTAATGCCAAACGTGTACAGATGCTGTACATCTCCATCATGGTTTGGTCTTTTCTGTGTAGAAAAGGGCTGGTTGAGAGGGGCCTGTCAGGGCACTGTGAGTCTCCTGTCTCAGGAGAAATCAGGGATCCTGGGAGGTGTTTCACAGGCAATTTTCACTTCTGTGCACAAATGGGTTGTGGCTGATGAACATATGTGGCAATGGAAGCACTCTGGAGGATCCCTCTGGAGCACCCAATCTCGTGCTATATGTAGGCATTGTCTTGACCATTTCACCTCCAAACAAGTGACCACAAGAACACTTCAGAGGGAAATTAGTAGTGGAGTTTATTCTGGAGGTGTCATTAATGATGAGAACAAACATGTGGACACCATCTGTGCTAATCTAATTCTGCCTAATGTAATCTCCTCCACAGATGTATGAGAGGGCAAAGTGACCTAGAGGAAGTCTTTAGTGGAACAGACTGGAAAAATAATTAATGGTGGGATTTTTCGTAAAGACCTTTCAAAAGGTTACTCTTAGTGGGAGCTGGAGGCCTACCTCCCCTGAGTCAAGATTAAAATCTCATACTAAACTCTAAGGTTGCTTACGTGGATCTGTGGTATGTGAATACTTGAAGAAGAGCATTTTGCTCCTGAAATTACTACCTCTTAAATGGAGTTAAATTCAAACAGAACTTCATGGAGATTTTTACTGCTCGTGTTTTTATTGACACAGAAGTATCCATTCATAGCTGAAGACTCACTAACCCACTCGGGGCTGTGAGGTTTGAGCTCACTGAGGATCCAAGTAGGAACATGCATCACCTTGAGCAACATACTTTCTCCGTGTTTTGAAGCAATGCCAGCAGGCACTGCTTGTCTGCACGAACCTGCTCCATGTCTATTACCCTCACTCTCAGCACTTATTTCTCTCTCATTTTCCAATCTGTCTTTCTCTTGCATCATGAAATAGTGTACAGACACTAAGGAGATGATCCTTGACTGAAATATAACATGCCTGTAGGTTAAGTTCAGGTATACAATTCAGGTAGACAATATTATTATTGTTTTTTAATCTATAACTGGCATGTTACATATTTTGCCTATCTGTAAACTTCTGTGATGGGATCATCACACTTTGGATCTATTTCTAATATGTGTAACTGCTGAAATTCTAATAAAAGAGCTGGAAACTCTTTTCTGAGTAATGCAGGTATTCTTCCATTTCTTATCACACTTCTTAACACATATGCACATTGCTTATTCCAGTGTAAAGCATTATTTAAGTAGGTAGATTGGAACAAGTACCTGGTGATATCAGAACAGCAGATGAAAACAAGGCAATCTCCTCCTCAGTCAGCTGTAAGGAACATAAATTCTTAGCAAAGTCAAATGCTTCATTCACCAGATCATCAGAACCTAAGGACCACAGAGAACAAAGTCAAAATTAGAAATTTATTAGCTCTCTGACCTGGCTTGAAGAGTGGAAAAGTGGACAGTTTTGTACAAAAAAAAAAAAAAAAAAAGAAAGAACAAATGAGTAAATGTATGTGTTCTTAAAATATGTGTCTGTCAGCTATTAAAACTCCACTTGCTTTAGAGACCAGCTATTTCATGTATCACTAGATCACGCAATGAAACACAAAAATTATCAAGAATTACGGGCATGACTTGTACAAAAAGCACACAGAGATTTAGAAAGGGGTTCTCTTTTCCCAGTGTGAAAATAAATGTTATTTATTAATAAGTATTATAGCTAAAAAGGAAGATTAACCAGTCCTAATTAACTTTCACATATGAAATTTATTAATTAACAGTACACATATTCTAGAAAATGTTTGAAAAGGCCCAAAATACATCGAATAATACACAAGAACACCTTTTATTCATGCAAGGTAGTGTAATGCTTTTTCTTTCTTATTCAAGAAGAAAATATATTTGTATATATTAATGGTAAATTTTTTGCAGTATATTACTATCCTTAAATTTGATTCTGCGTGTATCATGCTATATTTGCCAATAATGTACTGCATACATGGATTGCCAAAAGACACCCATTTAGCCATTGACATTTCAGATAGCACTTCATATCATGTTCAGAAATGAAGCTATTGTTTCAACACACAAATCCAAATGAGTTTAAAAGTTTTAGGCTAAGCAGTGTATTTACTAAGTTCCTTCATATATTTTGTCATAGTCCATCATTTTAGTCCCCTCTTTGCTGGAATGAAATGGCTTTTTGCAGGACTCAATTAGTGGGACTAATTTGATACGTCAAGTATAACTGATCTGTGGTGATAAACCACTTAGCTTCTACCATAAACTGTGTTTTAATCAAAGCTTTAGATGGCGGCATAAAAAAACTGATAAAATCCTCATAGTGCTCTTTTTTTTTGAAGAGAAAAACACCTATTATTACTGGCAGCCACTGGAGCCACTTTTCCTTTTCCAGTTTAGAGATTTGGAAGTTTTGGTTTCAATATTTACTGAGGGTTTTAAGTGAACATCAGTGCATTTAAACAGAAGGATACATTTTAACAGAAGGAAAATTGTACATTATTTGGACCAACATTTATAGAAAGGATTGAAAAGAAAAAGACCAACATACCCAAGGCTTTGAACATCTGCATCCCTCCATACTTTCCTTCAAACAGAACAGTATTGTTGAGTGGGTTGAAGGCACGGCACATTCTCACCAAAACCACTTCCAAGCAGCCTACAGGAGAGAAAAAAGAGCAAAAGTGCCACACATTATTACAGGCCCAGGCTTTCTTGAGCTATCAAGATAATCTGTCACTGAATATGGGAAACAATACATCTCTGATTTAAGTAGAGAAAATGTTTATTTTCTTGTCCAGACAGACTAACTTTTCCTTAGGCTTATTTTCTTCAGTGCAGCAAATTGATACTGTGGACTTAATCTGAATTTAGACCTGGGCAGATTATGTTATTTTAAAATACTTTATTCTGCAAACTTTTGTTTCCCTTATTTTTCTTTCAGGTTGAGGAAGATCCAAAGGAACAGATCTTATTTTATTTTACTTTTTTTAATTTAATTTTTTAATTTTTTTCTTTATTTTTTCCTACAGAATTTACAGAATTTCCTGTTTGGGGAAAATGAAGAAAAAATGATTTTAAGCAGTCTCTAACTAAATCTGAATTTTCTATAAGAGAAATTTTGCCTTTGAGAATTCTTTTGGAGATACATTTCTGAATGAAAAGTCCAGATTTTCTAACTTCTGCTGAGCATGAACTGCAAAACAGAAAATAGAACAAGAAGTATTTATACATGCTGATGCTAACCAGAGTTGTCCAGTAGCACAGTCAAGTACGACTATATCTTTTGTCTAAGGAGCAACTGTGTTGCTACTTTTGCTAGTCAAAGGAAGTTATATGGGATGCATCAGCATTTGCAGAAGTCTTGCAGATAATAAAATAAAATAAAATGTTATCCTGTGACTGTCTGCCTACATACTCCTGAGTTGTCTGCATCCCTTGCCCTTTGTGGCTCTGCTGCCTCAATTCAGTCCCGCTCTAAGCCACAGACCACTGTGTACAAGAGCAAGGAACGCAACAGCTTTCAAATGAAATGAACAGTTCCCTCTTGAAACAGGAAGAACTTCTTATGTTTTAATGAGTCACCTCACACTGCATCACACCTTTTATACATGGAGAGAGCAAGAAACTGATATGACAGGGTGAATGCAGTCAATTACCAGCAGTGGCTCACTTGGTCATGCCATTTAGCCCTACTGAGTTTAGCAGAATTATTGCGTAATCACAATAAATGTTGTCATGCTTCCTATAGAGGACAGAAACTACCACGTCCCATGTCAGGGAAGGAAACCCTTTTCCACCTTGCCCTTAAACATGCACATGCACACCTAGGCACACACAGAGAGCATGGCTGCAGCACGCTGCTGTAATCCGCTCTCATTTAGTCCAAAACCAACTGGCGCCAGCATGGATTTTCCCTCCTGTGCACTGGCTGGAGGGTATCTCTGTAGTCTCGTTAAAAAGATTAGAGATGACCACAGAAGCATTCACTAATGACAAGTGGGGATTTAGAGGGTGGCAGATGACTGATTTGACCTGCTCAATTCACAGGGTCTTTCCACTACATGTCAGGTTGGGGACTACAGTTGCTGCAATGACTCTCTGTGTGTATGTTTAATAACCACAAGTGACTGTGGAGAGAAGGGGATCAGAAAACAGTAACATGATTAATGGGGAAAACTACGGAAGGGTTAATGCAGCTAACAAAACAGACTGAAAAGTAAGGTTCTGTCAAAACAAAGATGACCCAGAGAATGGGACATCTGAGCACGTCTCTACAGCACTGGGAGCTAAACCAGTCTCAAGCGCTTGGTGTTTACCCACCTGACTTAAGGAGGAGAATTTGGTCATTCTGGCAGAGCTCCATAAAGCCTGTTATCCGCTTTGCAAACTCCACCACATACTGGATAGCATGAGTGATCTGAATGGCACACTGCTGCCAAAGGGCTTCTCTGGTCTTCCGGGAAAACAAGAGGAAAGAGCAAAACAATAAGCGAGTGAGTTCATCCATGTGCTAAGCACTTCAGGTAGCCTTGCAGGAAAGCACAGTCCTCTGACTAACTCACTCCCTTACCCCCCACCATGTCTTAACCAATGGCATTTCTGTTTTTCAAGATGCCTGACAACTTTCATGAGAAGAGAAGGCTGTTTTCACAGGTTGATTGCCTCAGTGGTCCAAACTGTGGCATTACCTCTTCATAGGGGGAGAATGCATCAACCAGTGTTAAAATGTGATTTCAGTGCTGACTTTTGCGCATGAGAGAGAGACAGCAGAACTAACAATATAAACAACTCAGTGCACTCCTAGGGAGAAAGTGGCACAGCGTTACTGAGTCATTAAACAGAATATTTTAGTTTCTGAATGTGACCTGAGAATTACAAAGGTAGAACAAAAATTCGTTATAGTGAGACCATTTTTCCAGGCACTTTTGAAAAACCTCACTTTAAGGAGTACTTTAAATTTATCATTATTTACTGTTTATGGGTGATATTTGGCCTGCTCACAGTGAAAAAATCTGTTACATAGGAAAGGAATGTGCTTCTAACAGATTTCAGAATGATAACAAAGGGTTTTTTTATTATAATTTTTTGAAAAGCCTTACAACAGAAAAGATCCAATTCTCATCACACTAAAATCAACAGAATTTCGGTATAAGGTTTATAGCTGTGGTAGCAAACAACGTGTAGAAACTGGATTCTGTGATCATATTTTGACATTAACAAATATCCCAACATGCTGAAAAGCTATTTCTTTTTGTTACGAAATATCCCTCCTTTGCTTTCACTGACCAGGGTCCTCTAAGGTACTTAAAAGAATACTTTAACCAGCTTGTCCTTGTCAAATAATTCATGGTTAAACATTTCTAACCATAGGGAGCAGAACAAGTATATTACAGGATTGTACCTTGCTCTGGTAAACCTTAATTTCTTCATACGTGTGGGTTTGCCAAGCTAGCTGGTGTAGCTCCTCCATTGTATATTGGCATGTCTCCAAGTGAGATTTAATGATATTCTGTGCAATTCGATCTGAGGAGAAAGATGAGCTCGTGTGAGACATTTTGGTGAACAGTAATTTGCAATAGCAAAATGCTGAAGACATTAAAATTGGAAAAGGAAGATTTTCTTTTAACCTTCTAGTTTTCCCTCCCTCTCCTTCTCTCCCTCTTTTATCTCTCTCTCACAAATATTTCTAAAATTGTCTGTTGTAAGATGTTTCAGTATCAAATACAAAGCCAAGGGATGCTTGACAAACAATAGATTTGTACATGAAAATAACAATGAATCTCAAGAAACTGTTTTAATTATTTCATTCTGGAAGTGATTTAAAAATAAATAATAATTATTTTTAATGTGTTTAAATAATTATCTTTCGGTCATCCTGATTACTTGAACACTTTCGTCTATTCCAAGACTGAGCAGATGCCCACACCTGGCTGCTCAGTCCTGACACGGGCATTTGCATTATCTTGGTGTGACTTAAATCAAAGAAGCAGGAAACTTATTCAGTTTTTCTCCAGTTAGGTTTTAGCTGATCAATTTTTCAATCTTTTCAGTGATATCTAGCATAGAGACCAGTGCTGGCAAGGTGTGAAAGCTGCAGTAGGTAGCCTAGGTTTTAGAGGACAGAGGAACAGCTCTCATACTCTCTGACAGCACATGATTAAGATACATTAAAGTTATTCTGAAAACACAGGTTTGCGTACAATTGCAGAACAAGAAGTGTGGAATGCAAGGGGAAAAGCAAGCATTGTGTGCTGGATGGAGATCCCCTTGAGACTAACAGTAAACCTCTCAGGGAAGTACTGAAAAAAGACATTTTCTCCGTAAGTCACTTGAGCAGATTAAAGATTTTCACAAAAAAATTTCTAACATCAATTCATTAGCACTGGAAGTAAGTTGAAATGTCTTAATTTGAAACAGGATGACTTCTTAACTTGGAGCTTTGAGACCTATATGTCTAAGTGGACAGCAGAACTGAACTGAAACACTTAGGGCAGATGCATACATATCAGAAGACATATTCTTCAAAAAAGGAGAGGGCTCTGGTAATGCATTAGCTGAGCCTGAGTGCAGGAAATATAAAGAACTAGGAATGTCATCAACCACATCCTCAACAGTTTTCTTACAATGGGTCGATCTGGTTCTTTGGAGTTCCAAAATAAGAATCTTGCTTTGGCTGAATGTTATCTGAATTTGAAAGCACCATGAAAGTTGAATAATGAATGTAAACATACAAGTTGCCTGCAATCACTGTTACAGGAGTATGATTTAAAGGAAAAATGTTTGTACTAATGTCACAGTTAATAAACTGAGACTGAGTGGACGGATTCTGAAGAAAGCACAAAAGAATTCCAGGTATTTGTAGAAATGAGAATACCTTCTCTATTCAGTCTTTACAGGTACTTCTCACAGGTTAACAGTTTTCTTAGGTTTCCTGTGAAAGAACTGACTCAGGAGTAAAGACAACTAAAAGTCTGTATTAGTGATTACACAAATCTACCCAACATTCTACCGTGGAAGAATGGATGCCAGTTTTACCTCATGATGTTAAGATACTGTATTTTGTAGTTAAAACATTAAAGATAAAGGTGCGGGTTGGAATAAAGACATGATAAATTTTAAACTACTCTTTTTTTAAGGATGAATAAAGGTTAATTAAATAAATACTAATTAATAAGCCCTGTTTTGTAAACATATTTCAGACTTCTACCCATATACTGATATATTTAAAACAGTTTTAATAAAATTAATTTTCTGAAAACATCATAAACTATAGTAATTCTGACTGTAAAAAGCACAGGTTTTTAACATTGTGTTCCTGGATTTAACCAGAAGAAACTTGATTATAACTGGAGGAACATTTAAACCTTTTATCTAAAACATCACTGTAAGACACAAGGTCTTCGAATTACTATTACATTTCCCTTTCTGAGTGGTGAAGTATTTTGCTCTGTCCAGCCACTGGCTGGTCTCTGTTGTGATTCCTAGCCTAGCTCCTCAAGCCACACAATTTGTTACACAAAGATGGAACTATTCATGTTTTTGACATAAATAAAATAATATATAAATCAAATACTTTAATATTATTGCATAGCCAGATCAGATGAGGCTGGTCACATTGTTTGCCTGATGCAAACAATCTGAAGATAAGACTTTTTTCATTTCACTGACCTGACCTCAAATATATTTGATCAGCAGTTCTATTTTACATTACTGTATATATTCTGTCCTGTTATTTTTCCTACCATTTACTTCTTTAACTTAGGATCAAACACGTGAGTGAGAATTCATGAATCTTCAAGGTTTTGTAGGGATGGCATTTTAGCTCTATACACCTTTTCTTTATGTGCTTATGCTTATGTTGAGCTGATGATAAAAATCATTTAGACATGAAAAGACCTTGGGCAATTCCAGAAAGCAACATCTCCAAATTCTGACATCCAAAGAGGAACCAGATGCTAGAAAAACTTGCAAATCTTGAGCCATAGGCTCAAGGCTGAGTATGTGATGGAAAGGGTACACCGCATCTCAGGGGCAGAGGATACTGGTTATTTTGTGTAAGGAGGCTGCCTTCTTACACTCTGAGCTTAGCCCCTCAGTGGTGCCTGATGCACATATATCATATATGGGATGTGCAGTGGTGACATGGTGGAAAAAGTAAAAGGAAAAGCTTATCTAGGCTTTGCAGAGGGTCCAGTGAGCAAAGATCCAATGCAGACAGAACAAAGAATGTAACTCTCAAAGGGAGTTGCAACTCTCAAGGAGCATAGTCTACCATTATGCCATTTGTAGATTTTAGCTCTTTTCACTCGCATAGTTGGAAACTACACACATCACTGCAAATTCCATGCAGAGAGAAGCTCCTAAACAATTGGGAATAATGTAAAGACATTCAATCTGAATCCATTTTGATGGAATGCAACTGATACTGTTCTGAATACAAAATATAACACACTTCTGGAAGACCTAGCAGCTCTGAAGCATTGCTGGCAGCTGTGTTCAATCAAAGAATGGGACAATGAGGGAGGAAAGTAACTTAGTCCAGTGGGAGTAGCTGTGTCTCTCCTGTTCGATGGGCTAGAAGATTCCACTACAGTCATTCTGCACATCAGGTCTTGACTTAAAATCATTTTCATTTTTATTTTCATTTCATTTCACCAACTTAAGCCAGAGATTTCAAGGGTCTCTTGACACCAGGAAGCTGCAGAGATGTATCTCTAGCTAGAAATCCTATTTGAATGGGCTGCAAAGGACTAGAAAGACAGTATCAGTCTTGTGACCTCATGTATTTCCCATTGAAATGTTGTCAATACCCATCTTATATAAGTTACATTGGGTTTGCAGCTTTCACTGTATGAAAAAAACAAAATAAAGAAATGTTGTTATTAAGAGTGAGAATAAAACTTTGTAAAGTTTCCTTTACATGGAGCATCTGCTGCAAGTTTTTGGTAAAAAATTAATTAAACAAAAAGAAATTAATGAAACTGTGTGAAAACATACCATCAGAACTAGTAATCACAACTGGAAACTACATGATTTTAAAACTTATCTGCCATAGTATGTAAACATTCGGTGTTTCCTTCTCTGCTTTTGTCTGTTATTTGTTATTATATCAGAGTTATGTATGCAATGGGATCAGCTATAATACTGCATAACATCATGGGGAGTCTGAAAGGCACAGAATATTCTGGCAGACTGACTCTAGTTGGGAAACATAACCAGTGGCTGAACTCCAATATGCACTGTGATGCAGTAATATTTCCATTAAATAGTTTAGTTCTAAGTTTGAAGATTCTATCTATCTATCTATTTATTTATTTATTTATTTATTTATACGTAACTTTGTTTATTGTTACCCTGATATTTTTGGTGGAAAACAGACTGTTTTTAAACGAATGCTCTAATTCATTAAAAAAACAAAACAAAACAAAACAAACAAACAAACAAAAAACAGCAAAACAAAAAAACAAACCAAAAAAACAAAAAATATCTCTAGCAGGAAGTATTTGCTTCTAGAGAGGCATATTAGAAATGAAAAAGGCACACTAGAAACAACATCAATCAAGCAAATGGTTAATGGCTTTAGACAATATGAGGTCTTGAAAAATCAGAAATACTCAGAGAAGATACATGTTGGAGTGATCAGTCATTTTTTCATTTCTGGCCTGTACATATCTTACTAGTTTTCTGCACAGACTCACTATCCTAGCTGTATTGTCCCATTCATTCTTAGGGGTGAAAAAGAAACCCAGATGTTGGTTTATAGTGCCTCTGAATTTCCTTAGAAAAGTAAAAACACCAAAACAGTCTGTGTGATAAGCATCTGTTCTGAACACACAAAAATGATAAATATTAGAAGCGGTACCTTACAAGATCCATGATCTTTAAAAAAGCTGATTTTATGGTTTCATCCCTTGGATTATAGGAAAGTCTGCCAGTAGGACTGGTTTCCCAGCACAGATAAGAACAGGAGATTTAATGTGTCCTGCTTTCACAGAAATCTCCACCACAACAGAAGAGACCAGAATTTAATTACAGCACACAGTTCAAATCCCCAGAGAGAGATGTCCCCACCAGAACTCAACTAAGCCCTGAACAAAAGTGACGCAGAAGAAGGAAAATGTGCTTGAGAAAAATTGAAAAAACAGGTTATTTCTCAAATAAATAAGTGGACAGCCAGTGAGTCTGGGGCAGCTTATGCTGCGACAGAGTGAGCTGCAGGGCATGGGAAGGCTGTGGATGTTATCTCCTGCTGATGGAGCCCAAAAAGATGTAGAATTATTGGGCAGACAGTGGTATTCACTGGGAGATAGACTCCTACTATGAAGAAGACATCAGCCCTTTTATTCCTTGCATTTTTCTCATGTGACAAGATCTTGACAACAACAGCCTGTGTTTTTTAACAGATCTGCTGCATGTCATACCTCCATTACACGCCTCTGCTGCCAAAGCTTGCTCCTGAAATCCTTGCCAAAGATTATAGTAAGAAAGTGGAAGGAGGCAACAGAAAGTGAGACAAATCAGAA